AATATATGGATTCGCTGTCCACACGAAAACGCAAGGGTGGCGTTTTCAGATTTATCCACTCTGGGACCCGGTTTCAAAAAATATTGGTTTCACTCTCCCAAAACGCCGGATCCGTGTGGACGAAACGCCTATACGATACAAAATGTATGCGTATACAGCTAAACGCGTCTCCGTGTGGACGGGGCCTTAGACTTCCGTGTGTTACTATATAATCACTCATCTATCAGTGCTCACCCTTGTAGCAGAGGTTGTCTCTGCATCCTCCTCCATAGCTTGGTGGGCACTGGGAACAGGGGCGGCCATGTTGGTAAGGGGCTTCCCCGATCCAGTTCCCCCTAGAAAAAGGGCACGGGTTCAGCATGAGTTTGGAAACGACTGCAAAATCTGCACATTTGACTGAGCGCTCAAAACACATTATCACATACTCTCACGGATCTCAAGACTGATTTAGGAAAACAATTCCCAGCTGCCAAATTAAATCATTAGCTTGGAAAAGAATAGCATATTCTGCCCTCTCCCAAAACGCCGGATCCGTGTGGACGAAACGCCTATACGATACAAAATGTATGCGTATACAGCTAAACGCGTCTCCGTGTGGACGGGGCCTTAGACTTCCGTGTGTTACTATATAATCACTCATCTATCAGTGCTCACCCTTGTAGCAGAGGTTGTCTCTGCAGCTTCCTCAATAGCTTGGTGGGCACTGGGAACAGGGGCGGCCATGTTGGTAAGGGGCTTCCCCGATCCAGTTCCCCCTAGAAAAAGGGCACGGGTTCAGCATGAGTTTGGAAACGACTGCAAAATCTGCACATTTGACTGAGCGCTCAAAACACATTATCACATACTCTCACGGATCTCAAGACTGATTTAGGAAAACAATTCCCAGCTGCCAAATTAAATCATTAGCTTGGAAAAGAATAGCATATTCTGCCCATGTTTTCCTTTCCTAAAATTCTCCATTTACTTTTCCATTTTCCTAAGGATGAATCTTTGCTTATAGCCTCCATGTTTTGAAGGATGGAACCTTTGCTTTAAGAAAGTTTCGTTCCATAGGCTCATCATCAGGAACAGTAATTAGCCATCTGGTGTTAAGTGAATAAACGTCAGCAGAAAGAGCTGGTCTTACTTGGGTGAGTAGTTGCAGACGAGATAGATGGCATTCTCCCAGATTTCTCCCCATACGTTCATACGGGGACACGTGTGAACAGCACAGCCGACACGGTTGGTCGTGGCCCAGACCAGCTGCAAATGAAGAGAAATATGCTATTATTAATGGTGTCTGCTAAGGCGCTTGCTTATACTCAGGATAATGGTTTTGTTCAAAAATACTGACATGTAAGTCATCTGGAATGTTGATAGAAGTGTGTTATTTTTTTCTAAGCAATCTTGTAGTTATAGTTTTCATCAGGATAATGATAAAATGAGCAAAACGTCCCATAGAACAATACACTGACAATGGACCCAAGCCAAATCTATAGGCTCTTTTGCAACCCAGGCGCATTGGAAATACGTGCCTATAAATACATAACACAAAGTGAAATGTCCAGTGAGTGGTGCTAAAACACGAGTTCAATACGTGACCCTGGCACGTTTTTATTACGTTTATACAGGCACATATTGCTGTGTATTTAATACGTTGCTTCAGGTACGTATTGCGGCGGTTCAGAATTCAAATATCCAGAGAGTGTCGCTAAAAGTTAAAGCTTTATCGTGTTGGAAATATCCCCTACACCAAACCCAACCCTAAACCTACCCGATAGTGTTAACAAATGCGAAACTGATATAATATATATATATAAATATAATATATAATATATAATATATATAAAATGATATTGATGCAGCTGTGCTATTTTAACTTCCTTATATGCAGGTTTGAACTGTTTCGTCGAACCGTAGTTTCACACGGTTCGTACCTGAGCTCTTTACCTCTCAAATGCAACTCTGCGTGAGCTATCGAACAAACCTACTGAATATGAAAACCCATACATATGAAGCTGGAAATGTGACGCTAACGCTCAAAAGTATCAGTTTTCAAATGTCGCAGCATGTTAAAATTGTTCTGAAGTCATAACAAAATATTCTTCTTGTAATTGTGCAAAAATTAGGCTTTCTTAATGGAAACTCTGGTCCTGTAAATCAGGAATAAAAGTTGTTGGAGTTTTACTGCCTCTAGTGTTTACTGCCTCTAGAAACTGCAGCGATTTGTACATATAGGTACATTTTTTTCAGTTTTGCGGAAATGTATTTAGAGGCACGTATTTCCAATGAGCCTGACTAGAGCCAGTAAGTAATCATACATAACGCCCTAGGAACCTCTTAGAAACACCCTAGAAACCATCTATAACACCTTAGCAACCACCTACAAAGACCTAGCAACTGTATAGCGATAAGAAACACTCCTACAACTAGAGATACTAAGCAACCATCCAGAACAACCTAGCAACCAGCTAGATACACCATAGAAACCACTTTAAACACCCTAGCAACTGTATAGCAATGTGGTAAAAGCTCTTTTTGACTTGAGCCAGTAAGCAACCATTTATAACACCCTAGCAATCACTCAGAAACAACCTGGAAACCATTTATAACACCCTAGCAACCACTCAGAAACAACCTGGAAACCATCTATAACACCCTAGCAACCACCTACAAAGACCTAGCAACTGTATAGCAATAAGAAACACTCCTACAAATAGAGTTACTAAGCAACCATCCAGAACACCCTAGCAACCAGCTAGATACACCATAGAAACCACTTTAAACACCCTAGCAACTGTATAGCAATGTGGTAAAAGCTATTTTTGACTTGAGCCAGTAAGCAACCATTTATAACACTCTAGCAACCACTCCGAAACAACCTGGAAACCATCTAGAACACCCTAGCAACCACTTAGAAACAATCTATAACACTCTAGCAGCTGTCTAGCATTGCATTAAAAACTCCAAGAACACCTTAGCAACTCCATCAACTGGCAACCACAAAACACTAGAAACAAGGCAGCAATTTCCTAATACAATGCACTTGTTGTGTGTATATATAAAAATGTTTACATTGTACTTATGTTATATCAGCATCCCTGCACAGAAAAAAAGACTAGCCTAAGTTAGTTGGCTGGTCTTAGCTGGTTTATGCTGGACTCCCAGCTTGGCTAAGATGTTCAGCTGTTTGTAACTGGTTGGTCAGCTGTTCTCCCAGCCTGACCAGTTAAAGAAGTGGTCAAAACCCCTCTAAAGTCAGCCTGCAAAAACTACAACCAGCTATGACCAGGCTGGAAGACCAGCTAAAACCAGCTGTGGATCTGTTACAATAAATTAATGTATTGTATTAATTACACTGATGACTCTACCCCTACCCCTCACCCTACTTTAAACCTAACTATACAACAAAACATGTGCCTAACCTTAACCCTCCTCAATAGCACCAAACATGTTTGTCAATTCACCATAAACACAATATCATGTTCCAGACAATATTTTTTTTGACCAAAGTAAGACACCTAAGATAAAATGATGCCAAACTATTTTCTTTTTGCATGCATGAAAGATGCAGGTCCATTTGCTGTTGATGTCGAAACCGTAAAAAAGACATCCATATTGCCTCCACTCTGCAGGAAGTGGTCTCCGTTCTGGGGCAGCAGCAGTAGATTGATGGGGCCATGGGGGCTGTGAATAGAGACTGCCCTCTTTCATTCTGCCCTGTAGGGCGGAAGGAGAAGCTCCTCAAGTGTGACCGGGCCAGTTTCCTGAAAAACTTCCCTTCATCCACTCTTATCCACACAAACAAAGTAATGCCACACCATTGAGCTGTGGTCAAGGCCCTCGCTGATTCGCTTAAGCACAATAGGGTTCACCGGGTGCAGCAGTGCAGCACGAGCCAAACCATTTGACTGTGAAATGAAAGGGAAGCGCTTACTCAGACTTTTTTTTTTTCGTACATACAATTAAACCGTAGTGGGTTTGCATATAACCTCGTAGAATGCAATCGAGGGAGCACGTCTCAATGCTCCCTCGGGAATGCACTTCCTCTGCAGAGGCCGCAGACGGTGTTGGCCATGGGACAATGATATAGCAAACTAATCAGTCTCAAAAAAACACAAACTCAAGCTTAACCCTGAGGGATCGTCTGGCACCGAGAAGATCGTGGAGCCTCCAGACCTGCTCTACAGCACGTGAGAGAGGAGGGAAACGGGGAGAACCGTGGCACGGATTTGGCGCGGATCCCCTACGACTCTGCGTTCTGCATCTTCAAAGGAATTCGGGTTAAACAGGAAAATGATTCAGGAGTCTGGGAACGGCTTCCAGATGCTTGTGACCTGCTTTCAGAGCTGAGCGAATGTGTATTTTCACAAACTCATCCCAGCGATAAAGTAAAGTCTACAGTTAAACCGTAGTGGGTTTGCATCTAACCTCGCAGAACGCAATTGAGGGAGCACGTCTCAATGCTCCCTCAGGAATGCACTTCCTCTGCAGAGGCCGCAGACGGTGTTGGCCATGGGACAATGAAACAGCAAACTAATCAGTCTCAAAAAACACAAACTCAAGCTTAACCCTGAGGGATCGTCTGGCACCGAGAAGGTCGTGGGGCCTCCAGACCTGTTCTCCCACATACAGCACGTGAGAGAGGAGGGAAACGGGGAGAATCGTGGCACGGATTTGGCGCGGATCCCCTACGACTCTGCGTTCCAATGCTCCCTCGGGAATGCACTTCCTCTGCAGAGGCCGCAGACGGTGTTGGCCATGGGACAATGATATAGCAAACTAATCAGTCTCAAAAAAACACAAACTCAAGCTTAACCCTGAGGGATCGTCTGGCACCGAGAAGGTCGTGGGACCTCCAGACCTGTTCTCCCACATACAGCACGTGAGAGAGGAGGGAAACGGGGAGAATCGTGGCACGGATTTGGCACGGATCCCCTACGACTCTGCGTTCTGCATCTTCAAAGGAATTCGGGTTAAACAGGAAAATGATTCAGGAGTCTGGGAACGGCTTCCAGATGCTTGTGACCTGCTTTCAGAGCTGAGCGAATGTGTATTTTCACAAACTCATCCCAGCGATAAAGTAAAGTCTGAGAGGACGTGAGGCTATTGCTCAACCCCTCCTTTTGTCCTCAATTTTCTCTGTTGTCGTCTCTCTTGAACTTTGGTTGGTCTCTCGTTCCTGCTCTCCTTTTCTTTGTGCATTGCATCTGTTTGATCTGGCATGTTCGATATGTTTTGACAGTATCCACATTACTTTTTCAAATACCATTTTCAAAAAAAAGAACGACAAAAATCCATGGGTTACTAGTGTTTACCTAAAGTGGCCCTAAATAGTATTTCGTCACTTGATTACACTTTAGTTTAGGGACCAATTCTCACTATTAACTAGTAGCTTATTAGCATATTATGCAAATTACTAATGTATATTACTAGCATATTTGCTGTTTTTAGTACTTATAAAACACATATTAATGCCTTATTCTGCATGACCATATTTTAGATCTCTTAATCCACCCCATACGTAAACTTAACAACTACCTTACTAACTATTAATAAGCAGCAAATGAGCAGTTTATTGAGGCAAAAGTCATAGTTAATAGGTAGTTAAGAGTGAGAATTGGTCCCCAAGCTAAAGTACATCACTTAAAGGGACAGTTCACCTAAAAATGAAAAATCTGTCATCGTCAACATGCCCTCATGTCGTTCCAAACCCATAGAGATGCAAATGAAGATATTTTTAATGAAACGTGAGAGATTTCTGTCCCTTCTTTGAAAGTCCATGCAACCAAATCTTTGACACTTCGAAAAGTACAATAAAAGTGATTCATGTGAATCAAGCAGTTTAATCCAAGTCTTCTGAACAGACACTATCGCTTTATAAGTTGAACAGAATTAATTTGCATACATAGAGCACATCAAATATGGTAAAAAGAATCTTAACCATACAGTACATGCTTGATGCACAATAACAAACCTCACTGGACTTTAAGGGGTGGACAAAAATGATGAGAGAATATTAAAAATATAGTAGTATTTTCATTAAAGTATTTGGGTGAACTGTACCTTTAAGCTTCATTTATAACATAAGAATTATCAAATCAAATGGTATCTGTAACAATTTCTAATTTACAATTTTTCCCACAGTGATTTTAGTGGATGGAGTCAGTTCCCCAATAGCATGTCCACTAAGATTTGACATCCAGGAAATGTCCAAATATTTTTCCCCCTTAATTTTGCATATTATTCAATAATATTAAATACTGTATGTACTATTTAATTATACCTGACAAACCATTTTTGCGCTACCTTTCTTTAATTACCATTTGATTTGATATTTTGTCATGTGACACAATGGCATTCACATATTTTTAAGACTAGCTCAGATGTCTAAATGCATTTTGGGACCATTATGTGTTACATGACACTGTTTTGTGTCAGGTTAATGAACACCAGTGGTCCATATGCTGCTTTCAAAGGCATTTCTATTTTAATGCAGGCCACACATGCAACTCATTAAACTCTAAACGCTAACTGGCACATGCACACCTTTGCACGCGGGTTTTAAAGCCATAAACAATGTCATGTTGTTTAGTCCCACAGAGATAATTGTATGTAAACTGTAAGCAAACTGCTCTTTCTCACTCACTTGTGTGTAGTGGGTGCACATGGGTCCAGAGCAGCGCTCAGGGCACCAGGGGTTACACTCATGTGGGTAAGGGTAGGTGTAGTCCTTCACCTCGTCGTACCAGGCCTGCACATGGTAGGCCGGAGAGCGGTACCTGTCAGGAGAGAGATGCAATAAATAATACAATTATGAATACTGTATCAGACCACAGTAACATACACAGTGTTTTATATGTAAAATGCATTTACATTCATTAATTTGGTAGATGTTTTTACACAAAGCAACTTAAAGAGCAGCATTTGTCAAACCCATGCCATTTACTTGTATATTCAGGTTTCATTTCTTTTGATACCTGAATAAGCATAAAAAAAATAATAATAGGAAATTCACCTGGGTGTTTGGTTGTGGATCACTTTGGTGAATTTTTGCTGGATTAAATGCTTATCCATAATAGTTGAAGTAGAAAATAAAGTTAATTTCAGCTCAAACAGTAGAAAATGGGGTTTAAATTCCCAGTGAATGCATGAACTGATAAACTGTATACTTTTGATCCAACAGTGTTGGAGAAAGTTACTTTTAAAAGTAATTCATTACAATATTGCGTTACTCCCTAAAATAGTAACTATTAAGTTACTTTTCATGGAAAGTAATGCATTACGTTACTTTTGAGTTACTTTTTAAATCTGGGCAGAGCTTCACTGACAGTTATGTTTAGGGGAGAGGTGGACCAAAATGTTTTTTGCACAAAAAAATCATTGCACAAATGAATTCACATTTTACGAATTCATACGAAATCACCACCTTGTAAAATGGTTCTGTTTTCTTGTGGGAAACTATATTGCATATATTGCTATATTGTTGATTTTGTATGAATTAACACAATGAAAATTATGCAAAAACACATTTAAAAAAAAAAAAAAAAAAGGTATGGGTTCCTATACTACGGACAAAGGACAATGGAAACCTTTTGCCTGTGAAGTGTTACAAAAAGTTACTGCAACTTAAGGTGTTTTGGATAAATGCATAATAGCAAATGTAAAGTACAAGGATAAAATACACAAAAGTTCCGAAATACAACACAAAAATGTCTGAATGAATAACTTGCCTTAAGAAAAAAATATATTTTTAGAAAAATATCTTTTCCAGATTTTTAGGCCTGGAAATCAGTTTTAAAATCCCCAAATATTTCCATGGTTTCCCAAGGCATTGTTAACACCATGTACGACTGGTTACTTTACAGGAACAGACTGATGTGGTCTTAGTAAATGTGTTTGTGCTAATACCTTCCCCAGTGCACTGCCAGGTTCTGCCCGATGGACATCAGTAGGTCTTTAGGTCCATGTTCCCACTGGCACTGTTCTGCCCAGTAGGTCGCTGACTTCTCCAGTTCATCGTCCCAAACCTGGTCATACACACACAAACTAAATCAAGCTCCCAGCAGAACACACAGAGTCCTTAATTCCCATATATTTGCACTGAGACTTTAACAAAACACTGAACATGCTGAGTTTTATTCCCAGATAATTCCCTTTGCCTTCCTCTGACTCTTCATCTTCACTATTGGACTAGGAATCAGGCCCAATACAACTAAAATATTGGCTACATGCACGCACATCAGAGTTTGGCTCACATCCACAGTAAATCCCCAGCAATCAGGGTTAAATGAGACAAATTTCCCAGCTTCTTTCTCCACCTGTAGGGAGGGAGGACTCACTTTGCACCTCAGAACAGGGTTCTTCACCTCTGAGGAACTCTCAGTAAATTTCCAACTGCATGATGGGTACAAACACTCACACATTCTCTAACCTCAGCTCTGAAGGTGCTGTTTGGGACTAAGCCACATTTCTGAAACCCTTACTTGTTTGCTGAGGCCTGGCAGTGGTTCTGAAACCCCTGCTTGTGGTAGACTCCTGTCTTTCTCAAAGGCATAAACCCAACTACATTAAACTCATGTTCGATTACCATACGCAAAGGTACACAGGGAACAGCAATAAAGCAGGACTGTGCTCTCTATAGGTCCCTAGTACACCTATGATTACTTAAAAAGTCCTACGGAAAACGTTTTTTCCTCAAAAACTCAATTTCCCACAATGCCTTGCTATGGAATACCATTGAGGCCTTCAAATGTGTGAAAGTGATGCAGGTGTATCCAGTTATGCTCAACTGAACCAAGAGCTTTTGCCAGGTCAAGTAAATGATGACAAAATGGTCATTTCTGGGTAAACTATAACTATAGCTATAAAGAAGTGCACTTAGTTGTGATGAATGTGCACTTGTAGTGTACTTCAAAACATAAAAGCATATTTTAAAAAAATGTATAAAAGGCCACTTAAGTGTACTTAGAGTACATTTTCATGACTGTTTCTTAACACAATTAAGTGGTTTTTGCTATAATGTAAAATTATAAAGTTTTACTTTAAAGTAGATTTTAAATCATTATGTTTTAATAATCTTTTGTCAAAAGTGTCATTTTGATGTGTTGACTGACATATTAAAGCACTTGATTTGAATCGTAGTGTGTTATTATATATTACATTTAAAATAATTTTTAAATGTACTAAATTGCAACTTTGTCATTACAAATGTTTAATTTCAAATATATTTAAATACAGTATTTACAAGTTTTAATAGAAATGGCATTAAAATATATTTTAGTTTGCCATAAATGCTTGTTAGTACATTCAGCAGTACACTTAACCATATTTCCAAGAAAATAGATGTAATAATGAAATTACATGTAGATGTACTTAAGTCCTACTTAAGTGGGTTAAAAACGCTTAAGTTCAACTAATTGCATTTCATATTAATTTAAACTACTTTGCATTTTCATTTAATTTCAATTAACATGCAACTAAGTGTTCAAGAACATTACACTCAGTGCGCACTTCAGTATATTCTTTTCCATAATAAGTACTCTTTTTGAACGTATTCTAAAGTGTACTTGTTTTTCACAAGGGAATCCCTTTAGCACTTGAAAAGGAAGGCAGCATACCTGCCGTTTCTGTCACATAACTGAAGCCTCATCTCTGGTCCAGTAATAATGTCACTAATCTTTGGCTCTGTTCTCTATCTATCAGTGTCATGGTTCCTGCGTCAGCAGGCGGCTAAACCTCAGTGTAATTGTCTCCACAGTAAAAAGGCACCACACCACGCTGGCAGGATTACACTTGTAAACTCAACATGTCTTTTCCAATGAAGCCAGTACTTGGCACCTACACAAACCTAAAGATATTTACTGGAGCAGAAAAAAAAAACGATGAATGCTGCCAACACAATATGCAATTAGTATAAATCAGGGTCATTAATGCAGAACAAGTGTTGGTTTTAAACTACTGATTCAACTACTGTTTTTTTCAAACTACTGATTCCAATAGTCTAATGCCTGCATGTTGCTAAGCTAACAGTGTTATAATCTAATAAGCATAACAAACCTTGTGAAAAAGAAGTGTGCTTAATTGTATTGAATGTACACTTCAAATCATAAGCGTTTTTTAAAAAGCTATATTTGCAGATAATATTAATAAAATAAAAGGTCACTTAAGTGTAAAGTGTAAAAAAGAGTATACTTTCATTACCGACTCCTAACACACTTAAGTACACTTTTTAAAAGTGCACTTTGTAATAAAGTAATAATAAATTAAACATTTTATTTTAAAGTGCATTTTAAATCATTATGTTTTAATAATTTAATGTGTTGACTAACATACTAAAGCAAAGTACTTGATTTGAATTTCAACTGTAGTGTGTGGTGCGTATTCATTTTTACATTTAAAGTAAATATATTTTAAATGCACTAAATTGGAATTTCATCAAATTTGTAATTACAAATATTTTAAAATAAATGACATGCACCTTTCAAGAGAATATAAATTTAAACTATAATACATTTTCATTTAATTGCAATTAACGTATTTAAGCGTCTAAAAACATTCCATTCATTTAACTTAAGTATATTCTTTTAATGTATATTATTTTCCATAATAAATACTTTTTAAAAGGTATGCTAAAGTGTACTTTTTCATAAAGGAATACATAGCACACACAAAACATTGGAAAGAGTAATGCATTTTTAAATAGATTGAATTTGATACTTTTTGGTATTGAATGATTATTTTTGTATTTGTAATCAGTAATTCTCTCGATTTATTTGCCATCTTGTGTGGAAAATTTCAGCTTGTCGCATCGTAAACTTTCCTTCAGCATTTTAAACTTAAATAAGATCTTAGAAATCAACATAACTTTATTCCCTACTTTTTGAAACAGTCTTTGTGTCTGCAGCACACTTTTGATGGCCTAAAATGCTTTCTATGAAGGCAACTCTCTAGGTTTTGGAACAGAATCTCCTGAGTTTTCAGCTCAGTTCATTTTAGAGTCTCTATACAGACCCTCAATATTACAATAAATCATAAAAAAGTTGGTGTGAGCGTAAAATGACTCAAACTGTGTTCCATTCTCACCATGTACTCCATGTTGGAGGCGGTCGGGTACACCTCTCCTCTCAGCTTGTTGTGCAGTTGCAGGATCTCCTCTCTGTCTGACCACCTGATGGCTCTGCGAGTGCGTAAAGGCGCATCAGCTTTTGTGTCGTTGGGCTCCAGCTCGTCCTGGTAGCGTTGCATCAGTTGCCTCAGCTCCAGAGAGTCAGGAAGGAAGAGGGAAGCAGCCAAACTGGCACCCAGGAATAGCAGGGCAATGGAAACAAGCCTGTGCATGGCAGCGGTGATGCTTTCAGGGTCGGAGTACAGTAGACTGCCTTGTGTGAGCGTGTCTTCAGGGCTCTATTCTGAAAAATCTGGAAAGAAATATGGTTTCCATGAGGACAAGCGTTGGGAAAGTTGTCGGAGCAAACGCTGGATAGTAAACACACGTCCATGTGTTTACACACAAAGAGAAATCAGTGCTTCAAATAGGAATTTGCTAAATTGGTTTCATTAGTCTCTCTTATTGCATCCTGACTAAACATAAACCACAAATATATGAACACAAACAGAATCCAATAACAACAATCATAGAGGGTTGCTGTTCTGGAACGACATGAGAGGCATCCATCCATGTAGTGCAGCAACTGCTTCTTTGCTTAAACTAATGCTTATCCTAATGCTTGTGTTACATTTCACCCCAAAATAAGTAATTTTGCGTAAAGCAAGCACAATTTTAAGAAAAACAAGATTAATTGGGATATTACTTTCATGACAGTTGAGAACATTCCTTCCCGAATTTATTTTCTAATTTTACTGTAATACCTAATCATATTAACTGTATCACTACTGCAGTAAAAATACTGATATACAATGTTTTCAATTTAAAAGAGCATAAATTAAAGTGGTTATCTTTTCTTTAATACCTAAAAACGTCACTATACCACTGTAAAAATATTGAAATAAAGTTTTTAAATAAAATTAACAAATTAAAGTGATTAATAGTTAAAAATGTAACTATCACTTTATTACTGTAAAAATACTGAACTACAATGTTTTTTAAATGAGCATAAATTAAAATGGTTATTATCTTTACTGTAATACCTAAAAATGTAACTGAATCACTTTATTACTGTGAAAGAATTGAAATACAATGTTTTTTAATTAATGTGCTGATTTATCTTTACTGTAATCCCTAAAAAATAAATTGTCACTGTTACAGTAAAAATAATGAAAGTTTTTTTATTTATTTAAATGTTCATAACTTAAAGTGGTTATCAGCTCAGTTCATTTTAGAGTCTCTATACAGACCCTCAATATTACAATAAATCATAAAAAAGTTGGTGTGAGCGTAAAATGACTCAAACTGTGTTCCATTCTCACCATGTACTCCATGTTGGAGGCGGTCGGGTACACCTCTCCTCTCAGCTTGTTGTGCAGTTGCAGGATCTCCTCTCTGTCTGACCACCTGATGGCTCTGCGAGTGCGTAAAGGCGCATCAGCTTTTGTGTCGTTGGGCTCCAGCTCGTCCTGGTAGCGTTGCATCAGTTGCCTCAGCTCCAGAGAGTCAGGAAGGAAGAGGGAAGCAGCCAAACTGGCACCCAGGAATAGCAGGGCAATGGAAACAAGCCTGTGCATGGCAGCGGTGATGCTTTCAGGGTCGGAGTACAGTAGACTGCCTTGTGTGAGCGTGTCTTCAGGGCTCTATTCTGAAAAATCTGGAAAGAAATATGGTTTCCATGAGGACAAGCGTTGGGAAAGTTGTCGGAGCAAGCGCTGGATAGTAAACACACGTCCATGTGTTTACACACAAAGAGAAATCAGTGCTTCAAATAGGAATTTGCTAAATTGGTTTCATTAGTCTCTCTTATTGCATCCTGACTAAACATAAACCACAAATATATGAACACAAACAGAATCCAATAACAACAATCATAGAGGGTTGCTGTTCTGGAACGACATGAGAGGCATCCATCCATGTAGTGCAGCAACTGCTTCTTTGCTTAAACTAATGCTTATCCTAATGCTTGTGTTACATTTCACCCCAAAATAAGTAATTTTGCGTAAAGCAAGCACAATTTTAAGAAAAACAAGATTAATTGGGATATTACTTTCATGACAGTTGAGAACATTCCTTCCCGAATTTATTTTCTAATTTTACTGTAATACCTAATCATATTAACTGTATCACTACTGCAGTAAAAATACTGATATACAATGTTTTCAATTTAAAAGAGCATAAATTAAAGTGGTTATCTTTTCTTTAATACCTAAAAACGTCACTATACCACTGTAAAAATATTGAAATAAAGTTTTTAAATAAAATTAACAAATTAAAGTGATTAATAGTTAAAAATGTAACTATCACTTTATTACTGTAAAAATACTGAACTACAATGTTTTTTAAATGAGCATAAATTAAAATGGTTATTATCTTTACTGTAATACCTAAAAATGTAACTGAATCACTTTATTACTGTGAAAGAATTGAAATACAATGTTTTTTAATTAATGTGCTGATTATCTTTACTGTAATCCCTAAAAAATAAATTGTCACTGTTACAGTAAAAATAATGAAAGTTTTTTTATTTATTTAAATGTTCATAACTTAAAGTGGTTATCATCTTTACTGTAACACATACAAATGTAACTATATAACTATATTACAGTAAAAATATCAAAATCGTGTTTTATCCATGAATTAAAGTGGGGTTTTTTTTACTGCAATAACAAATGTTTACTGTATCACTATGTTACAGTACAAATATTGAAATAAAAAATTTTTTTAAATCACCATAAAGTACATTTACAAATACAACAGATAATATCATGATTATTCAGATGTTATACATGTTTTTCCACATTACAGCAAAGAGAACTGTGCTAAATTAATTAATAATTAATTAAATTATTTACTTATTTAATTATTTACTTCATTATAATTTCTAATAATAATAAAGTCGGAATGCAAAACAAATGGTCCTAAAATAGGCTTCATTTTCTTTAAGAAAAATATAAGTCCTCATTTGTTTCTTATGATATTGAGATGAAATATGATAGGCATTACAGGATTCTTTTCTAATTTGCCTTTTTTGTACTCCCTGCAGAATTGCCATAAATTGTTTAGAGGAATTTGCCATCTATATTCACTGGAGCAGCACTCGCCAATGAGGAAATGAAGCGACCCACATTGATCCACAACAAATGAATAGTTTGTGCTCCAATTAGAAGAATCTTTATTGTAATGTATGCCATAATCAGTTGTCAAGCCAAAGGCCCCATCAATACAGAACAATTATACCATCAAAGCCTCACATAACAAATCCCCATTGTCATCTTCATTACTACTCAAAAGATCAAACCATAAGCCTGATCTCCTTCGATTAGATTGTTCAGTTTGATGGACCAGCAGGTCTCTTTGATCTCTGCAGGTTCACAATCTATCCGTAAACTCAACTTTGTTTATCAAACTCATTCATTTCCTGCGGTGACGATGGATAATTCATTAGCAGAACAGATGCACACTCAGCAGCTGTGCCATTCGCACATTAATCAAAGCAGGTCCTTCTCTGTCCCGGACTGACTTTCTCTGGGAATGGAATTATCCAGGAACAAAAAGCGTGCGAGAATGGAAGCGAAGAGCAAGTGAATTAGAGTTATTTAGTGAATGACAATAGTGGCCACTTCTAGCCCAAACACCTAACCGCCGAAGAGCCAAACGTTAAACTCCAGAAACATCATGGACCTACAATAATCCAAATCTTTCTCTCATGGCTCTGTAATTACTTCTCCCTCTCTCTGACTCTCTCTGCAGAGCCTTGACATCCAACACCGGTCTGAGTAAACACAGGCACCCCTTCAATTCCAGCTGCCGCAAAAAGCGTGCGAGAATGGAAGCGAAGAGCAAGTGAATTAGAGTTATTTAGTGAATGACAATAGTGGCCACTTCTAGCCCAAACACCTAACCGCCGAAGAGCCAAACGTTAAACTCCAGAAACATCATGGACCTACAATAATCCAAATCTTTCTCTCATGGCTCTGTAATTACTTCTCCCTCTCTCTGACTCTCTCTGCAGAGCCTTGACATCCAACACCGGTCTGAGTAAACACAGGCACCCCTTCAATTCCAGCTGCTGCTCTCTCTCTCTTTCTAGTTCACATTCAGTGCCGTCTCATCTCTCTCCTGAATTTTATACTACCATGACAGACCAAGCAGCCAGGAAAACGCCAGCCGGGCACCTGGTCCACATCAACACGAGCCAAAACATTGCCAGGTGGTCCATCTGCACTTTATATGGCTAAATGCTGGTTGGTTTTGAACACTGTGCTTTTCACAAGCATTAAAGTTTGAAATGGAATAAGATGAAGCATGACAGTTCAACCAAATGCACATTTCCCAACTGACAATGAGTGCAACTAATGTTCAAAATGATGCCCATAATGCATATTGCTCTCAAACTGATGTACAGATTAATGCGCATTAGATTCTACACTCTATTAATGGATCATTACCAAAAAAGGAGGAAAAAAGCTTCTCCTCCCGATGCTGCACATCCAACTTTAATTGACTAAATGCATCAGTTTATCAATGCATATTATTAATTTAACTTCCATATAATACACTGTCAGAGACACATCTTACCTAGTTTGCGTCTTCTCCCCGAGCTATCCCAGAGGCTGCTGCAGCTCAGTGTCTCGCGGCTGGAGTATGTTCCTTGAAAGTCAAACAAGTGTGAGTAGTGGACTCTGTCTGGTAGCTGGTGACTCGGACTGAGTCTGTGGAAGCAGCTCCGCACCTTTTATAGCCAAGGAGAGGAGTGTGAAGAAGAGGAGGAGGAGGCTGAAGAAGGTTGTGTTCCTGGAAAACCTCCGGCGGTCTGACGAACGATGTCGAGATGAAAACGCAAAGAACGTAAATCATCTCAAAGCAGATCCAGAGACGCGTCCAGAGGATTACTCAACAACTCACGACAGCAGGATGTTTGTCTATGAGTTATCGTTTTGTAACATTTGTCATTAGGTCCGTCAATACAATAGTGGTTATACGTCATTTCGTCATCAGTAATATACATGGAGAATGGGGCTAGTTATAACAAGTTATAACTAGGTACTCTGTCATGTTACTTCCTGTCTATTTTAATTTGAACTTACTTATAGGCATACACAAGTAATATACATATATATATATATGTATTTTTAAGTATATTTTAAGAATGTAATTTATTCCTGTGATCAAAGCTGAATTTTCAGCATCATTACTCCAGTCTTCAGTGTCACGATTCTTCAGAAATCATTCTAATATGCTGATTTGCTGTTCAATAAACATTTATTACTATTATTATCATTTAAAACGGTTTAGTACATTTTTACAGGATTCTTTGATGAATAGAAACATCCAAAGATCAGCATTTATCTTAAATAAAAAAGCTTTTATGACTTGTCGACACAGACTTGTTCATATT